TTCTCTTTTAATATACAAAAATATCCCAAACATGTTTTGTATCGATTTTGGAAGCTAACTTTATCAGGAATCTAAATATTCTGAAAAACTGAACTTTCTTCGTAAATAAAAATCAATCTTATTTCTTAATACAAATAAATGTTTGTACTGCTGTCTTAGTGGACATGTTAAGTCGTTAGGGAACTATAGCTAACATAAAAACGCAATAAAAATGAATGAAATCGAACTTGATAAATAATCACCAGGAAACTAGACGATATGTAAAAAAAATGGCATGCTCCATAACGTCTATTCTGACAAATAGTTACCACAGGACTAGTTAGTATGGAGAGGACAACACGATGCATCAAATAGACCTAGACAAATAATTAAATCTAGCACAACTATGCCTTATTGAATTAATTTATAATATGAAGCAATATATAAGAAAGGAGATGATAGTCGTAGTTTGTGTGAGTCTTGCATTAAAAAATACCTTATTATAATTGCAAAGAAAATATTTATAAAACTATAATTTATCTTATGATATATTTTCACTTTTGATAGTAATATTTTATTATATAAAACAGTTATAATGACGTATTATCAAAAAGCTCCAAAAATATTCTTTTTTTTCATTTATCAAAAACAGTATTAACTGGGTGAAAGAGTCTTCGTAACTTATTCTATTGAGAATAACATTTCTCTACAATATATATCATTATCTATAGGAGTCATCGTGTACAACTCAACTGTCTTGATTAAATTTGACTTTAACTTTCTTCAAACTCCTGATAGTTAAAACTTAGATTTTTTTATCCATAATGAGATATATTAACTAATTATATGAATAGAAATTCTGCATCCATATTCTTCGCATTGACAAAAAATAAAAGCGAACTCTTACAGTATTGTCTTTATAGTTTATATTAGATCGTCAGGAAACTAATGTCGCGTTTTGGAACACTTTCATTAACCACCCCCAAAAAAACATACATCACGTATAATAGTGAAACGAACCGCCTAAACGTCACGTTAGTGTATCCTATATAATGTGTAAAGTTTAGTATACTCTAATCCCTTATAGTGATGGCTGTTTGAATACAAGAAGGGAAACAACGCTTCCGTAGCCGCAAAGAATATCAAAGAAGTTTATGAAAATGCTTTGAACGTTCGTAAATGTCAACGATGGTTCAGCAAATTTTGTTCAGGTGACTTTAGCTTTAAAAACTATGATGGCAAGGGCCGACTTTTTGGAATTGGTATTGATGTTGTGAAGACGCTTGTTGAGTCTAACCCAAGGCAACACACACTCATGAAATGGCCCTGAAATTGCATGTCACTCATGACGCATCTAAGGAATATGGGAAAACTCCTTAAAGAAGGTATTTGGGTGCCTAACGAACTATCCGATGATCATCGTTTCCATCGTATGAACGTTGCTTCGTCTCTTCTGGCACGTAATGCGCGTGAACCATTTTTGATTGTCACCGGTGATTAAAAATGGATTCCCTATGCGAATATTAAACACCAAAACAATGGCTCAGTCCTAGACAAAAACCACTTTCGAC